AAGGAGATCCAATAAGCCATTCTGTAGTTTTTATGTTTCTTGGGATTTAATTTCACAAGCTATCATGACATCTGAATCTTTTACGTATACTTTTATTTTTTTCTCCAGCAATTCTTTAGTTTTACTTCGATGTACTTATATCATTATCTTGTTGTAATATTTTGATTTTTTTTTTTAAGAATGCAAACATTTAAGCATTTTTTTTTCCTTTCTGTAGACATATTAGCATTCAGCACCATAAGCCCTAAACTGCCATTGCAAATTGATAAAAACTAGGTTCCATATAATGCTGAAGAAACTCCAGAGAATAAGAAACATCCATTAAAGGACCAAGGTAGAAACTTTAGTAGGCTTCAGCCTTCCGTTTGTGAATACATTGACTTCATCATCAATTTGGCTAGACTACAAGAGTGCACATCATCTTCAACGTTCAGAGTATTCTTGTGAGACAATGGATGTGAATAAAGGTTTTCAACGCTAAAACTCAGTTTCATACGAATATGATCATATAATTGTGGGCTCCGAAAATTAGGCCTCGGCCTCCGCTCGCCTTTCTTTTTATTCGGCGAGGGAGTTTTAACGGAATAAGTTCCGGGGTAAATTTTGGAAGGCAGATGAGTTTGTAGATAAGACACTACCCAGAGATTTCACCCTCATTTTGAGGGGACTTTATGATCTGAGTTCTGGTTTCCTATAGGCGCAAGCCCCTATAGTTAATTACCCCTCCCGATCACGAGATAGAACTTTCGATTAAGGCTAGTCGTCAATCAGATACGTATAGAGAATACGTGTTATCTGGCATATAGTAGCAGCAATGGGTTTAGGATATTTGAAAAATGGTTGGAAATTGAAGAGTTGGGTTTGGAAGATTTGAAGATTTGGATTGGGATATTTGGGAAAATTTTATATTTAAAAATAAAAATTTCATCATCTAGCACTTAAAGCGGATGGTGGGGGAATGGATGATGGACCCGATCAAGATCCCATGGTTTCGTCGTCCCGGGCCATCGGGGTCCTTGGTCTACTTAGTCAGAGGAGGTAGTCGACCCAACCTGACAGAAGGATCCTTGTCGGCAGCAATGGGTTGCTTCGTCCAAGGGAACCTTGTAGACCGGGGTTGAATGTTTGTCTAAGGGGACAAATTTAAATCCACCTTAGCTTACAGAGGGCTTTGTGCCCTGTCAATTATATCTTATTGATTCATATCTAAAGGATTTAACGCCATTAAGGAGCGTATTGGCTCTGGCCATAACCGCTATCTGTGGTGCCACTTGGCGACAAAACCACTAGGTTCAGAGGGCCCCGGGTCATAACCGTTTACCTGCAGTGCCATTTGGCGGCGAAACTGCCGATTAGAGGACACGTACCACGCCCTTACTGGCAAAAGATTGTTTGAGAATGGATCCTAGTAATATTTTCGACCAGGCATTAGCTCTTTGAGAGCTGAAGTGTTGTTTAATTTGTCCACCCCGATAAACTGTTGCGGAGGGTGGATGGATTTTGCTTTAAGTTTTTGATGGATTTATTTCAATTTTAAACATTTTTGGGATTTTGGAATTTTGAGATTTTTGGAATTTTCTGGGATTTTGGGTGGCTTTGGATTTTTGGATTTTTATGGGTGTTTTGGGTAGAGCTTTGGAGTATTTGAAATTGACTTTTGGGAGACAATTCATAGTATTTGGGAACCCCTCCGGTTGAGATCTGCATTCAACACGGCCATCATCGGGGTGTTTGGGGGGACATTTTCATTTGTAATTTGAACCTTGTCAACTCTGTCTGGATGTCAACAGAGGATCGGGTTTTGTAGGTTTTATGTCTTTGTTAGTGAATTCTCATTTTTATAGGCATTGAAGGCCTAATATGAATGTATTAAGACAAATATAACGGTCACCACAACCGTATATTTGTTTAATGGTTCGAACCCTGTCGACTCCTATTGATCCGTATAGAAGGATCGGGTTCGAACTTGAATTCACTTGTCAGCCCGCGCAGCATCCCTAGACATCACGTGTGTACCAATAACACGCTCGTCGGGGCCCATACGGGTTTCATGATTATTTTTACACCTTTTAGTGTACCTATGTGTATACAAACTACTGTGCACGTGCATGGGTACGTTGAAATAATTGTAGTTGTGCATATAACTTTTCATTTAAGAGCTTATACACGCCTTCTGTCCGCTAGTATGAGTGTTGCGGATCTGGTGGCGTGACGTAGCAGCTTCTGGATAGAATTGTTCGCTACTTCGTACAGGTAGACTGTCGTGCACTACTCGTTGCTTTCTGCAGGTGGATCGTAGTGCACTAACTAATCTCCTGCTTTAGTTTGTAGAAGCTCGTTGGAACTTGTATTTTTTTATGCATTATGCCGTGATTTTGGTTTTTGCAATACAACCATTACTGTTGGAGGTAGATGTATTTATCTTTAGACTGAAGTTGACTACAGGATACTGCATTTACTGTAGTCTTTATGTATCTACACAGGGTGGCATTTGACACATACATTTGTCTTCGTAGAGAGATTGTATGTATTGCAGATCATTTGTAGTGACTTGTAGGAATTCGTATTGTTGCTTGTGAGTGAACCGACATTTCACTTCTATTCGGGATTTTAATGAATGACCTTCATTCATTCATTGACCTCTTTATTTGCAGGGGATACATGTCTTCTACGACGACCTCCTGGAAGTATTTTGTAGAAGATCCATTGTTTCTGCATCGAATCCACCCTTTCACCAATCTCGGGTGGGTTGTTCTGATGAATTTGCAGTTGCTTGTAGGGACGGATCCTCCCTCATTGGTCTCCCGAATTGCCATCTCAATCAACAGGCATCTGCAGGGGTTGTCGTAGGAGTTTGTGCATCAAGATCTTGTAGCACATTTTGAGTCACTGTTGCTCGTACGAATGCTCTTGTAGTTTGAGTTTCCTTGCACATGATTCAGACTTGAATTCATCAAGTCTACAAGTCCCACTTAATGTTGTATAGCACGAGTTCAAGTACAAACTCAGAGTTCAAGTCTTTGGTTCGACTTGATGTCATTCGCTTGAGTTTGATTTGAGTCTGATTTCATATTCAAGACATGGTTGAGTTTCAAATTCTAGTAGTCTTGAAAGTCCAATCTCTTATCACTTTAGTTAGAGTTTTTATTTGCATTCGTTCAAGTATTGGTCAAAGTACAGTTCAGACTCAAAATGAGTCTCTTCTATTCATCCGAGCCCCCCTGCAGTCTGAGTCTTGTTCAAGTTCAATGCTTATTTTTATTTGGATTTGATTTTTTTTTTGTATCTCATTTTGATTTTCATTCTAATTTAGGTCCCGAGTCCACTGTTCTTGTTCATGTGCTTGTTCTTTTTTGAGTTCAAATAGGTACAATTTCACCCGAAATTTCGGCAGCCTCCCGTGTCTCCTCCGTTTAGGGGAAAATTACGAGAAACTGGGCCTTTTCCACCATGCGCAATAAAGGCGTGTATGGTAGGTGTCCTCTGACGAGGACACCGCGGCCGTGATTTTTGTTCCTCCCACCACGCGCAATAAAGGCGTGTATGGGGTGTTTGACGGTACCTGTTTAAATAATGCACAGTTTGCTTTCCCCCCGCTCGGGGGTACTTATGAATGACACAATTTGCTTTCCCCCCGTTCGGGGGTACTTATAAGTGATCCCGCCTCGCCGTAGGTGCCGCACCGGGGTCCCTTCCCACCACGCGCAATAAAGGCGTGTATAGGTGGTTTTCCGGTGCGCCATGAACACCGAAGTAGAGTTTAGGCGATTGCTCGCTTCGTCGTAAGCATCAAACCGGCGTCCTATCCCACCACGCGCAATAAAGGCGTGCATAGGAGTTTTTTCCGATCTGCTGCAAACAATGACGCGAGAATCTGAGTTTAGAGAGTTCGTACCTTCGCGGGCTTCGATGGTACCTGTTTAAAGATGCACAATTTGCTTTCCCCCCGCTCGGGGGTACTTATGAGTGACCCTGCCTCGTCGTAGGTGCCGCACCGGGGTCCCATCCCACCACGCGCAATAAAGGCGTGTATAGGCGATTTTCCGGTGCGCCACGAACACCGAAGTAGAGTTTAGGCGATTCTCGCCTCGTCATAGGCGTCGGACCGGGGTCCCATCCCACCACGCGCAATAAAGGCGTGTATAAGCGGTTTTCCGGTCTGCCGCATACAACGAAACAACAATCTGAATTTAGGAGATTTCGTACCTTCGATATATTTTTTTTTTTATGGGATTTGGTCGAGAAGCACATGAAAAGGAGCAAGGTTACCTTCACAGCCTTTGAGCTCCTGTTGTTTGCTTCCGATCAATATGCTGTAACTTCCGATCCAACCAGAAAGGGGAAGTCGGAGAAGGAAAAGTCGAACAACAACAACGGGAGTCAAAGAAGCGAACTCCGCTTCCTGTCTCCGATCAAAATGTCGTATCTTCCTGTTCGGCAGGAGAGGGATGTCGGAGGAGAGGGGAGCTCGATCGGCGGCAGAGTGGCGACGGGTTGGGATTCGGTCGGCCATGAGTTCGAACAAGGCTCGGGATCAGAACGTCGAGGGGCGGCTTCGGCTGGGTGTCGGAGCTTGTGGAGTTTGGCCGGTTTTGGAGTTCGGCAGAGGGAGTGGAGACAGTGACAGGAGAGGAGGAGAGGTCGTGGAGAGCGAGCAGTCGAAGCTTGAGGAGATTTGCGAATGAGTTCCGAAGGCTTCCGCAGGTCCGGTATTTAACGACGGGAGTTGGAGTGAGATCGAGGCAACGTCGCAGGATTTACGCCGAATTTGCGGAGAAGCGACTCGAGCGGCGCCGTTCTGCAGTACCTCGGCAGGATTCCTGCAGAATTTCGGGAGTCTGCTTCTCGATGCGTACGAGGTATGTAATTTTTGGTTATTACATAGAGCTTAACAATAATAAAAACTGCAATCGAGCTCAAAACGTCCAGGATATCTTGACAATAGGTAAGAAGAGAAGATAGAAATTGTAAATAGATTATTTTCGCTAATAAAAGATTACCTCAGAAGCAAATAAACGAGGCCTTAAACCAAGGGCAGAACATGGAGCATCAAGCAGTACACGATCAAAACTGTTAGGGAGAAAACCTTTTGAATTCTCAGCCCTCCCACCTATAGAATGATTTCTTCCCGGTCCATTTTTCATCATTTGCGTAGGCTTTCTCAATTCCTTTTTGCTGACGTATCTTCCATTTCCACGATTTCCTTTGCCAGAAGAAATAAATACTGATAAGCCAAACAATCATACCTGAGCATATAACTTCCTTAACTAAACATGAAGCAACTAAAGCATTCCATCAACTACACTGTACATTATTAATTATAAGGAAAAAAAACCGTAAGTTAAATACATATCAAGACAAGCCCATAAAATTGACCATGTATTTCAAGAAAATTTTGAAGTTAAGGTAGATCATGCTTACATGTAGTAACATCAAGACGTCGCACACAGAGGGAACAACACAACTGAAACGATATTGTTCAGGGAAAAATAAACAACATAAACACTATCATTTCATACCAAGTCATACCATAAAAATCTAAACCAGCAATATTGATAAAAATACAAATTGCAGCATATGTGTTTATGAGATTAGGGCTTTCAAGAAGAACATAAGAAAATAACTTGCTAAAAGGTTAATGATGCCAAATTAAGCAAAAAAAATCATGAAGACAGAAGGTTGCATGTGATCATCTAATTGTACCTCTTGCACTAATATTTAGATTTTTTTTCCCAGATTTGATGGGAAGGCAGCGGCACAGGGGGAGCATTCCAAGATAATTGTGATTTTTTGATTAAATTCCTGATTTAGGAAATTAATTGGGTTTAAATTGAATCTATTAGGCTTGAATCGAGTTTGATTTGGGTCGATTTGAGTCAATCGAGGTCGATTTGATTTAATTTGAGTTCAATTAAACTTAATATGAGTTTAATTAGATTTAATTGAGTTGATCGATAAAATGTTATTCGATTTGGAAAAAAATTTGTATACTGTAAAAGAGGAAGGTGGTTGCATATATAGCAACATACCTCAAGGTAAATTTATAAATAGAAAATTATAGAAATAACAAAGAACTACTAAAAGTTCTAAACTGAAACTAACAAAAAAACATACAGGATTCAATACATCTAACATGAATTTTAATAGTGTCAATTTTTTTTCATAAGATTCATTTCTATAAAGTAGAAATTTAAAAAAATAATAATAAATAGAAGAAAACATGGGTATAGCAACTGTAGCAATTAGGGAGACCCAAAAGCGGCATAGAAACATGGTGTCAAAACTAGAAGTCAAAAAAGAAAGCAAAAAAGAAAGGCTTCGCAAATCTGTAGCGTAAATGCTTGTGGCGGCAACATTTAGGTTAGCAAAAAACACGCAGCAACCGAAACAACAAGGAGCAGCAATAGCGCAAGAACAAGGGAAGAAACTAGCGAGTGACAAGGGAAATTACAGGAACTAGAAAACCGTGGCAAGACAAATGCTATAAAGACAAACAACAACACAGTGATGAAATAATAATGAGCACTGATGAGCACTTCTCATTGTGAAATCGATTATTGACTCCATAGGTGTTGATTGGAATTCAACAGGCTGAATTGAAACTATGAAATAATGAATATGAACAAACTTATTAAAATATACAATTGAGAAACAAAAACTTAAAACCCATACACTTAATTGCATTCCCAATGAACACATACTTTCATATTTACATAATATAGTTTACAAGATAAGATATGGGCTCAAAACTCAATCTTACCCATGCTCATGATTTCTGCATCAATTTTATCTCTGTCCATGTTCACACGATGCATGTCACCATTGTCTAATCTTGATGATGACTTCATAATTGTTATGTCATAAATCTCACGATCCAGATTTGTTGCTACGACATCAGCTCCAACAACAGTTTGGGAGACAGATTTTAGAGCATCAAGTCTATAAGCCCTTATGCAAGTAAGGTCCATCTCTGCAGCCAATATTTTTATATCCATAACCTGAAAAAATTTTAATATAATTGCAGATCTCAAAATAGATTAGTAACATGATACATGTAAACAACATAAAAATCATGAAAGAACTTTGGCCAAAAAAGGATGTCAATTCAAGTATTGCATTCTCTTTTGTATGCCAAACATGTTGAAAATACAAATTGTATTTCATGATTTAGTAGTATATATTAACAAAATCTAATAATTTTGCCAAGAATAATATGAAAATTAAATAAAAAACCAACATAAAAACAATATCATTTTCTTATGCAAGTGAATTCCTTAAAAGATGAAGGACGACAACAACATAAACAACATCAAGCCTTTATCTCACTATGTGGGGTCGGCTACGTAATCTTTTTTCTACATTGTGTCTTGTTAAGAGTCAAATTCTCATTTAAATCTAAAAAAGAAAGGTCATTTCTAATATTTTCTAACCAAGCCTTTTTAGGTCTACCTCTACCTTTCTTAACAAAAGCCAAATCTAATACATCTACTTTCCAAACCGGGTCATCGGAAGGCCGCCGTTTTATGTGACCAAACCATCTAAGACTGTCACGACCTAGCCCGGCTAGCCCATTGATAACGGGGCGGGAACAGACGGTCGTACAGAAGAGCATAAAAACATAATCAAATTCATTATAAATTTAACAACAGTACATAAATGTCATTCAACATTAAAAGAAAGAGCCACAAAAAGACATCAAACTGAAATGTTTCAGACTAATCAACTATCTCACAATTACTAAAAACTTTTTAAACATCAATTACATTACATAAGCTCTCACCATTACATAAAATTCAAACTCACGAACTACAGAAACAAACTCAAAGACTCAAACTTAAACATAAAATGGAACATTTCTTCCTGAGATCCCCTACGACGATACATGTACGGTCGTCGTGCAGCCATCAGATCTCTCCTAAAAAAATATTTCCAAACGAGGAATGAGCCAACGCTCAGCAGGTAGTTCATATCTCAATTAATTTCATAAGATGCATAAAACAAAAACTTTTACAATTGGAATTAATTCAAATCATATCATTTTGCAAGTCATAATCTTTAAACTTTTCAATTTTTCTTGCATTTTCCTTTCTTTAACATTTGATTTCTTTCATTCATTTCTTTCACCTTATTCATATGCAATGCAAAGTGCAAAAATGATTATGCTAAATATATCACCCGTCTCAGAAGTACCCTTATTCGTACTGATCAGGTACGCAGTCAAATTTTTGCTTATTTCCTTTATCATTGGTTCATAAGAACCATCCTTTACCATGGCTCATATGAGCCTCCTTTACCAATGCTCGAAAGAAGCTCAGTTTACCATTTTGGCACTTCCGATCAACGATGGCAACATGAAATTATTATTGCTTTTAAATCTATTGAATCATGGCTCATTTTCTATCATATTTATTTCCATTTATTCATATACCTTAATTGCTTCTCCAAATAATGCAAGAAATGAAAACATGAAACTGTAGGGTATTTTTTTTTTTTAAAATCATGAATATCAAAAATTTTGACAGTAATAAAATAATTGAACAGTAAAATAAATACATGAAAATGCCATTTCTAAGCATAAATTAAAAAATAAATCACTTATTAAAATTAAAATGGGGTATGAATACCTTACTCAATTCAAAGTAGACACATCGCTTCGACCAAATTCTTTCACCTTAAATTCGACGTCATCCTAAGAAAATTTACAAAAAAACGACGTATAATATTTTTGAATAAACCTAAATTCTTAAGTTTTCAAACTCTCATTTTGTATATCAAAATTCGTGCTCCAGGACGTCCAGGACGATCTGGATCGTCTGGGACGAGTCAGTTGAGAATTTGCTCCAGAATTATTGATCCCAGATTTGCTCCAGGTGTTTTTTCTGTAGGCACGAGCCGATCGAGGCATGGCCGCAATTTGCCTAAAATCGCGAAATAGTTTCTGGACCTCCAGACAATCAAATTGGGATCTCGGGATGTGACGGGGCCATTGGTTGCTGAATATCGTTTGAAGAAAACATAAAAATCTTGAGAAAAGGGGTTTTTAAGATTTCGCGAATTAGCGGAGCTGTTTCGTCCGACGAGACTGTTCAGAGAAATTGCTGTCCAAGTGTAAGGCAACATCGGCGGCCTTTCATCAATTTTAAGAACCGTTGTGTTTGGCGGTATTTTCTGTTCGGATTTTGTTTCCGTAGTATTTTTCGTCCGTATTCTTTCGTTGGTTTTCAGTTTTACGCGTAAACTTTTTCTGTATAATTTTGCTGACGATGCCGAGTGTGCAACATTTGTGTTATTTTTCTGAGAGATTTTTTTCGGTATGTTTTGATTCGACAGGTGTTTTTCGTCGACTGAGATTTTTCTGGTGAAGTTTGAAAATTATCTGTGGCAGTAAGATAAATGTTCTGAAATCTTATTATCTAATAATTCTGTGCCAAATTTGAATGAATTGTGTGATTTTCAGAAAAATTTGGTGTAAATTCGTATACTGCCCGTTGTGCGGCCCGGATTTTTGTGTCTGATTTCTGATTGTCCGGTTTCTTCTGAATTAATATGCTATCTGTATATGCTATAAAAGGGAGTTTATAAGGGGCCTGGATCCTATGAGATTCAGTTAGTGTATGGGGATAAATTTAGATGAGCTCAAAGTTGGAGAAATATCTGTTCTGTTCCGCGGATCTGCGATGAATTTGTTGTTCTGGTGCCGTTGAGCACATTTAAGTACATTTAAGCTATTAATGTACTTCAGAGAATTTTCTTGGTGTCGTGAGCACAAAGGGAGACATAAGGGTCAGAATCCGTATGTTGATTCTGTTTAGTTTAGTTTATTGCTATTAATTAAATATATGATATCTGATTTGATTGACATCTGATTTCCGTTATGTTCTGTTTGTTTCGATGGATATTCTGATCTGTCTTTGATTCATATATGTTCGTATCTGTTCTGTTCCTGAATCTGTATCGATCTCTTGTAATCTGTTTGTTACTGAATCTGCGAATTCTTTCTGATTTCTGTACGATTCCTGCTTCTGTTGATTGATAGTCTGATCGCGTATCTGTTCTGATTTGATCTGTTTCGATTCTGAATTGTCCGATTTGATACCCTGGTCTGATTCTGTTGCCGATTTCTGTATGGATCTTGTCTGAGTATGTTTAGTTTGGATTAGAGAGTTTTGATGGAGGTTTGTCGCTTTCCTGAGCTGTTTGAGCTCCAACTCTTGTTTTCTGGTGGTTTTCAGGTTCATGGGGAAGGGAAGGAAGTCCAGGAATAGATTTTCAGAGTCTGATCAGTGTAGGTACTTTTGTTACATTTTTGATTTTTGTACAGATCATGGCTTTTCTGTTTGTTTCTTTCTTGTCTGAGCCGTGTACTGTATTTGGTAGATGATTGTTTTGAGGAAAAGAGAGATTATAGATGTTTTGTTCCGCTGTTTTGATGATTCATTAGTAGTTCTGTGTTTGTGTGTCTGTTTGAGTTTAAATTATTTGGAAGATTCAGTTACCGACAAATTCCATAACAGATCCTGGTCAGTCAAGTCGAGTCTGTTGTATTTCGTGTCGCGACTCGCGGTGCGAGGCGGGATCCGTCCGCAGATCGGGTCTGGGCGGTGACAATTTTTGTGGTATCAGAGCATTGGTTGTGAGAATTGGGATTGTGTAAAACAGAGCTATAGGAAGTGTGATCAGTGGAGTGCTGCTTCTAGGGGTAGTTTTGGTTTGTTCGGCTTTTTATTGTGTGTGATTTTGTGATAAGTTTTCCCGAGATTTTTCTGGATTTTCTGTATTGGATCAGCCAGAACCCAGACATGACAAGACGGGCAGTAGTGCAAGTCAGCGAAGCACCAGGGGGAGTTCAGCCCCAGTGGCGGTTGCTGACACCTTTCTCAATTTGTAACACTTGTGCTCAAGATGAATGAGCGAGACTAAGAGCAGAGTTTCTACTGTCAGATCAGATAACATTGATAAGATAATTTTTGCAGTTGTTTTTTGAGGTTGAAACCTCCGAGATTTGAGGGCGCATGTTGAGCCGCGAGGACCGAGGAGTGGCTGAGGAGATTGGAGAGACCTTTGACGGAAATGCAGTGTCTGTTCAGATAGGAAGGTTCCTTTGACAGTATTTCTGTTGGATGGAGAAGCTGAGCACTGGGGGAAGGGAGCAGTAGATCAGCAGATAATTTTTGATAGGCAGTTTATGAGGCTTGTGCCTCCCCTGAGCAAAGATTGGTGATGCAGTTACGAGGTGAGTTTACTTCCTTTAGCCAGGTATACTTTCTGGCTGGAGAAAGTGCTATCGATTTCCCCTCAGAAATCGGAATTACGAGATACTTTGAGGCAGCCCTGATACCAGTTTCGGATTACTGATTTTTCTGAGCTTTGTGGAGCGAGCTCGTTTGATAGAGAATGATATGACAGCTACTCAGGCAGCGGGTGACTGCGAGTAGGAAGAGATTTGGAGGTGAGGCTTTCTGGCAGTGGTTCCTCTGGGAAAGGGAGATTTGTAGTATGGTTTCTGGATTGTTGATTCAAGGAGGTAGTGGAGGATTCGAATCTGGTACTTGCTACCGTACGACTGATTCTGGATCTGTGGAGTATGGCACCTGTTGTGCCAGAGTTGTGGACGCGACATCAATGGGCCAGTGCTACAGGATGGCTGGTCTGTGCTTCAGATGTGGTCAGCCAGGACATAGGATTGCAAGAGTATTACACAGGCTGGATTTGATCGGCGTCTGAGTTCCGATCAGAGGGTTCTGTTAGATACCTGTCAGGTTTCAGCAGGGAAGACCGAGGACTGTTCCTTCCTCGCTCTGAGGGATTTTCTGGTAGAGGTGGTTGGTTTCTAGTTCTGTACCAGGAGGACCACCTACTGTTCAGAAGGGGCAGAGTAGTTCTGTTGCTTCAAACTCCTTGCTCCAGTTCAGCCTCCGCACGATTACAGCCTGAGTCAGCAGGAGGCTTCGTGGATGCTCAGATGTTGTGACGGGTAAGATTTTACATTTCTGATCAC